CAAGCTACATATAATCAAATGCGTCAAATTACAAAAGAATTTCGTACGCAAGCAATGACATTATATGTACAATCCTTAGGCAGAGAAAATGAATTATTATTAAATGAAATTAAACGTATTATTGAAGGCTTTCCCCAAGAAAACGATGAGGGATTTGATGCTGAACCTGGATATGCAGCATTTAAACATTATCATAATTTACGAGAAAAAAGATTAAATTTAGAAGCTGAACAATCGATTCATTTTTTATCCGAAGAGCGAGTCGAGGGCGACACAAACGATCCGGTAGAAGTCGTTGCTCCGACTCTAATTCGATCGCTGGGCGAGGAATTCTTGCTCCAGCTATAATTAACCAAGCACAAATTCAATTAACCGAGGAAGAACATGAATTACTAAAATTAGGCCCTCGGTTTATTTACAATGATCCAAAAACGGCATCTCGACGACGTATAACTGAGTTGGCTACTCTTAAACGAAAAATTGAAGTTCGTTTCTTTGAAAAGAAAGTTAGCCCTGGTCGCCCAGTCGAACAATTTATTGCCGAATTAGATGTTCTGCTTCAGAAATTACATGATACCCCTGGAAATCCTCGAAAATTAAGAAACATATCAAATCAAAATAATACTTATGATAATTTAGTTTCTGCTATAGAATCAAGTCAGTCTCAAGATATTAATTCTAGAATTATTATTAAAAAGAAGAAAAATTATGGACGATTAATTAAACGTTTAAAATATAAGCTTCATTTGAAAAATATCGTTCTTCAAAAATCTGATAAAAACAAAGTGTTCCATCTAGGTAAACTCGACGATTATCACAAAAAATCAGAAGAATATATGGATAAAACAAAGGCCTACAAATGTTTAGGTACTGAAGATCCATTTCCTGATCTGATTCGTCGCACTAATAAATACTTATTAGATTTAAGATTAGCCAAGTGGATTACTCAAAAACAATATGAAAAATTATGTATTAATCCAAATGAAGTTGAACTTGCTCATTTGTATTATTTACCTAAGGCACATAAGCCTGGTACTCCTCTTCGTCCAATTATATCTGGTCTTAAACACCCTACAATAAAAATTTCAAAATTTCTTGATGAATTACTTCGACCTTTATTTGATAAGATGGCTGCAAAAACAACTGTAAATTCTGGCTTTGAATTAGTCAAACAGTTGCAACAATGGTCAAGTATTAATATACGTCAAGAAACTTTATTTTGCACAATTGATGTAACAGACCTTTATACTATGGTACCACAAACAGAAGGAGTACTGTCATTAAAGAAAATGTTAGATCATATTAAATTAAAACAAATTGGTGGTCTTAAAATTGAAACTATTATAAGATTAAGTCGATTTGTTATGAAAAATAATTATTTTTCTTATAATAGCCATTTTTATCATCAAGTTCGTGGAGGAGCTATGGGTTCTCCTCTTACTCTAACTGTAGCTAATTGTTATATGTTCTTTTATGAAAGACAGATAGTTAATCAAATCAGCAATAGTGGTGGATTATATTTTCGATATATTGATGATATTTTTATAGTAATTAATTGGCCTTCTCGACATTTATTTAAACAAATCGACAGATGGAATCATTTTGATGAAAATATCAAATTATCAGAAAATATAGGTTCGACAGCTGATTTTCTTGATTTACATATAGAAAATCAGGATGGTCAATTATTTACTACAATTTTTCAAAAACCATCTTATGAACCATATTACATGCCGTTCAATAGTGTACATCCATTGCATATGAAGAAGAATATAATTTTTACGATGTTTCTTCGTACTATTAGATATTGTTCAAATTTTCAAGCTTATTTAAATGAACGTGAAAAATTACGAATGGCATTATTATTAAATAAATATCCAAATAGAATTATTGATGAACAATTTAATTGTGTATTGTCAAAATTTAATATTAATCAATCATTAGATATTAATAATTATAATTCAATTCGTCAAAAAATTATAGAGACATTTATAAAAGATAGAATACCAGTCGACTATGGAAAGACAATATTTGTCCATTTTACTTATTGTTCAAGTATGAAGACGTTTCCAAGAAAATTTCATACTCTTTGGAATAAATATTTTAGAGAATCTCCTATTAATGAAGTCTTACCTGTCCTAGGTACACGTAATGTTAAAAACTTGCAAAGGCAGTTAACTATTACTAGATAAATAAGATATCAAATTAATAGCTATTATAATCAAAATTAATTGCCTATATCTTCAGAGACGAATAAGTGATATCACATGAATAAATATTATTTTAATTATCTGCGTTTATATCTTCAGAGACAAATAAGTGATATCATATGAATAATATTACTCAAAATTGCCTACGTTTATATCTTCAGAGATAATAAAGTGATAATACATATATAATACAATTTCAATTATCTACTTATCTCTATTAATTACCTTAAAGAGATTATCAATCAACTTCATCAAGCAAAATTTATTAATCAATCTATTATTCTTATAACTGAAAAATTCATAGGCATATTATCAATCAACTTCATCAAGCAAAATTTATTGATCAATCTATTATTCTTATAACTGAAAAATTCATAGGCATTTTATCAATATGATATTAGGCAAAAATTTATTGATCATAAAAAGAAAATGATGAATAATCACCAAAATCATCAATTAAATCCAAAATGATACTCCTTTGGAAAACACTGATTTTGGAACCTTATTAAATCCATATTCAAATATATTTGATAGACTTGTATATAAGTCGATCTATTTTCTAATTGATTTACGTATATTCAATGTTTAAAATTATTCGTTAATTAAACGTCGAGTTATTTATTATACTAATAACAGTCTTATATTATATTCTTATATTAATAGAACTTGTTAGGTGTTATATCTATCGTATGGAAGATGACCGAAATGAACTTCTACCTTCAATGTGTAGACTTTAACTTTGACTTCCTGGGTAATATCTTTAAAGGTAAAGAAATGATATTATGTTTTATGCCATACATCTTTAAAGACTAATCAATATTATTTATTATATACATGTTATTATTACTGAATATTCTATATTGGAAACTACCCGTTAACTAAACGTCGAGTTATTCAATATATAAAAAAGTTATTAATAAATATTCTATGTTGGAAATCGCCCGTTAACTAAACGTCGAGTTACTCAATATACTGGGAATCACCCGTCAATTAAACGTCGAGTTATATATTTCATCAAATAGAATTTATTGAAAGAATTGAATCACTGATAATTTATACCCTAATGTGATTCAGTCAACATTTGATGTTTAAAAATTATTTGAAAACTAAATAATAATTGCAAATGGAAGATAATGGAAGATAATGATACTATTGAAACTAGACAATAGTTTACCACCACGTACACGTGCTAATATATCGACAACAACAATTATAATTAGTTGTTAGTTATATGCGCTACTAAACGTCGAGTGACTAAAGCCGACGTATAGTTTAATTTGAATGATATCTTCAAAGATAAATATGGACACGTATGGTCGAACGATGTTATCTCTATTTACCATTAGTTCCAGTAACCTTATTCCATCAACATTTAAACTTAAAGAAAAACGACAAGAATTAGCTAATAAACTTTTAGCAATATTTAATCAAGATGTTTTTCTTCCCAACTACCAGATAAAACCAGTGTAATATGGAGTGGTCGGTTAATAGCTACGGCTGGTCATTGTACAACTCGACGAACAACACGTACTGCTGTAATTCAGTTTAATGTGAAGTGGTCGGTTGGTCATTGTACAACTCGACGAACAACACGTACTGCTGTAATTCCACTTTCATATAGTTTATCTTTATTTTTCTATGTTTGATTTTCATTTTATTCTGATTTTGTTGTGCCTCTTAATTTTTAATTTTTTATGTTTAATTTTCTTTTTATTCTGATTTTGTTGTGCCTCTTAATTTTTAATTTTTAAATTTTTCATTTTATTCTGATTTTGTTGTGCCTCTTAATTTTTAATCTTTATCTTTAAAATTAGTTTTTACTTTTAATATAATGCAGAGCCCTGATGAGTGTTTTATTATTTCAATAAAATAAACATGAAACGCGTCGGCGAAAATAATCTGCATTTCTTTTAAATTAATTTTTATTCAAGCATATTTATATTCATTCAATTCAAATTTAATTTGTCGACAGAAAATCGATTGCTGAAAAGCAAGAGTTGAGACTAGCAGATTGATTTGTATTTATTGAAATATAAGTCGATCTGTTTTCCAATTGAATCAAGTTCGTGAGCCTATAGAAAAATTAGAAAAATATATATTAAAATATGTTTATACATATACACAACATGTCAAGAAAATGGCCGAAACTAAAATTCAAATAGCCAAAGCTCAATTAGATGAATTTAAAGCTTTAGAAGAATTTGAACAAATAGCTACTCCATCTCAATGGAACATTCATTTAGCTTTAAAACCTAGAATAAAACTTTGGTTAACCAAAAATAAAAATTACTTGGCTGCTCTTAAACGTGTCGAATATGATATGCCTCCAAAATTTATTGAAAAAGTTGATTTATCATTTAAAATTGATGAATCTATTATTAATCAAGATGAAGCTCAAGCTACATATAATCAAATGCGTCAAATTACAAAAGAATTTCGTACACAAGCAATGACATTATATGTACAATCCTTAGGCAGAGAAAATGAATTATTATCAAATGAAATTAAACGTATTATTGAAGGCTTTCCTCAAGAAAACGATGAGGGATTTGATGCTGAACCTGGACATGCAGCATTTAAACATTATCATAATTTACGAGAAAAAAGATTAAATTTAGAAGCTGAACAATCGATTCATTTTTTATCCGAAGAACGAGTCGAGGGCGATACAAACGATCCGGTAGAAATCGTTGCCCCGACTCTAATTCGATCGCTGGGCGAGGAATTCTTGCTCCAGCCATAATTAATCAAGCACAAATTCAATTAACCGAGGAAGAACATGAATTGCTAAAATTAGGTCCTCGGTTTATTTATAATGATCCAAAAACGGCATCTCGACGACGTACAACTGAGTTGGCTACTCTTAAACGAAAAATTGAAGCTCGTTTCTTTGAAAAGAAAGTCAGCCCCGGTCGTCCAGTCGAACAATTTATTGCCGAATTAGATATTTTACTTCAGAAATTACATGATACCCGTGGAAATCCTCGAAAATTAAGAAATATATTAAATCAAAATAACACATATGATAATTTAGTTTCTGGTATAGAATCAAGTCAGTCTCAAGATATTAATTCTAGAATTATTATTAAAAAGAAGAAAAATTATGGACGATTAATTAAACGTTTAAAATATAAGCTTCATTTGAAAAATATTGTTCTTCAAAAATCTGATAAAAACAAAGTGTTCCATCTAGGTAAACTCGACGATTATCACAAAAAATCAGAAGAATATATGGATAAAACAAAAGCCTACAAATGCTTAGGTACTGAAGATCCATTACCTGATCTAATTCATCGTACTAATAAATATTTATTAGATTTACGGTTAGCCAAGTGGATTACCCAAAAACAATATGAAAAATTATGTATTAATTCAAATGAAGTTGAACTTGCTCATTTATATTATTTGCCCAAAGCTCATAAACCTGGTACTCCTCTTCGTCCAATAATTTCTGGTCTTAAACACCCTACAATTAAAATATCAAAATTTCTTGATGAATTACTTCGACCTTTATTTGATAAAATGGCTTTAGAGACAACTGTAACTTCTGGTTTTGAATTAGTTAAACAGTTGCAAAAATGGTCAAGTATCAATATACGTCAAGAAACCATATTTTGTACAGTTGATGTTGCAGACCTTTATACAATGGTACCTCAAACTGAAGGAGTACTCTCCTTAAAGAAAATGTTAGACCATTTAAAATTAAAACAAGTTGGTGGTCTTAAAATTGAAACAATAATTAGGCTAAGTCGATTTGTGATGCAAAATAATTATTTTTCTTATAATAGCCAATTTTATCATCAAATTCGTGGAGGAGCTATGGGTTCTCCTCTTACACTAACTGTTGCTAATTGTTATATGTTCTTTTTTGAAAGACAAATAGTTAAACAAATTAGCAATAGTGGCGGACTGTATTTTCGATATATTGATGATATATTCTTAGCAATAAATTGGCCTATTCGACATTTAATGAAACAAATCGACAGATGGAATCATTTTGATCAAAATATCAAATTATCAGAAAATATAGGTTCAACAGCTGATTTCCTTGATTTACATATAGAAAATCAGGATGGTCAACTGTTCACTACAATTTTTCAGAAACCATCTTATGAACCATATTATCTGCCTTTCAAAAGCATTCATCCATTACATATGAAGAAGAATATAATATTTACTATGTTACTTCGTGCTATAAGGTATTGTTCCACATTTCAGGATTATCTGAATGAACGGGAAAAATTAAGAATGGCACTTTTATTAAACAAATATCCAAATAAATTTATAGATGAGCAATTTAATAATATATTATTAAAATTAAATACCCAATCATTAACCTGTAATAATTATATTAATTGTCGTCAAGAAGTTATAGATTCTCCAATTAGAGAAAAAGTACCAGTTGACTATTGTAAAACAATATTCGTACACTTTACATATTGTTCAAGTATGAGAACATTTCCAAGAAAATTCCATACTCTTTGGAACAAATATTTTGGCGAATCCCCTATTAATGAAGTGTTACCTGTCCTCGGTACACGTAATGTTAAAAATTTACAACGACGATTAATCTATACTAGATAAATACCCTTGTT